TTATCCTAGAGACAACAATTTTGCTTTTGCAAAAACATTTCAATTTCATGTATCAAAATCCCATATTTTATTTCTTGAAATTGTCCCTATCCCTTGTTTAAGAATTCATCTTCTACACATAGCTATGAAATATATACAACATGTTTCTCTTCTGAGTTTTTTATGGTGTGATCTTTAAGATTCAGGTTGCATATCTATTTTGAATTTATGATATGATGATAATCTAAGCCTAATTTCTGCTAAACTGCCTTCTGTCTCCCCTCTTTCTAAAACATCTTCCACCCAGCTGCCATCATGATTTTCCTAAAGTACAAATCTGACCATGTCACTCCTCTGTAAAGTCCAATGATTCTTTATTAACTATCAGATCAAATATAAACTGTGTTTGACATTTAAGTCCCTTCACAACATACCCCTAACCTGCCTTTCCAGCCTTAGTTTACATTACCACCCTTCATTCATTCAACAGTCTGACCTAATTGGTCTTCTTATTCCTCATACATGACACTCCCTTTTTCATCTTATTATCCTTGTTCTGACTATACCCCCTTATAGAATTTCCAATTTCCTTAAAAACTCAGCTTATACCACCTTCTATATGAATTCTTTCCTGATCCTCCATTTTCTAGGGCCTTCCTTCAAAAAAGTTACCTTGAATTTATTTTATATATATACCCACATATGTGTGTATTTAGGTATATATGCATATACATATGTGTGCATAGATGTATATGAGGGAAGCTGTTAATATGTATATGTGTGTTTATATATGTGTACACACACACACACACACAGACACCCCTACATTATCTCCTCCTATAGAATATAAGGTTCTTAAAGGCAGGGATATTTGCCAGTGACTCCTTATCACCTCCAGGATTAAATATAAAATCTTCTATTTGGCATTCAAAGCCTTTCATAGCCTTGCCTCCATACCACCACCTTTCTAGTTTTCTTACACTTTATTCCACCCCAAACCCACCAGGTACTTTTTGATCAAGTCAGTGACACTGATCTCTCAGTCATTCCTTGACCAAGACATTCTATCTCTTGGCTCTGGGAATTTTCTCTAGCTGGCCCCCATCTTCCTCTTCCTCTCTACCTCCTGGCTTACCTGACTTGACTTCAAGTCCCAATTTAAATTCCACTTCCTATAGGAAGTTTTTTTCAACCCCTCTTAATTCTAATGCCTTTCTTCTGTTGAGTGTTTCCTATTTATTTTGAATATGGTTTGTTTGTACATAGTTATTTGTATGTGCTCTCCTATTAGATTGGAAGCTCCTCAAAGACAGGAGCTATCTTGTGTCTTTCTTTGTATCTATAGCACTTACCATGTTGTCAGGTACATAGTAAACACTTAATAAATGCTAATTGACTGAATGAATATTTTTTCCCCCATCCAAGTTCACTGACCCCCTCACATCTATGCTCAGACCTCTTGGCAGACCACTGATTCCAGGTTAAGAACTTCTGGGGAAAAATTTTTTTTAAATTTTTAAAAAAGAATTTCTGGGAAAGTCAGACTAGGAAGGCTATTAAGCTTAGGTCTTAAGAATAAGTTTCTGAAGACAAAAAAAAGAAATTATTTCAATGAAGAGGAAAAAGAGAAATTATCTAAAAAAATTCACAGAGCACTCATCAACCAAATTAGATTTTTTTAATTTTTAATTTTTTAGATTTTTTTGAAAGAGCTTATAAAGAAGATGGAAGCAAGAGCAGTTAAAGGTGGATGAATACAAAAGCATGGTACTGTCTTGTAAGAACAATGTCAGAGATGAAGGAGCTGAAGTTGGTGAGGATAGTTAAGATACTCAAAAAAGCATTTTTTTATACTGAGGAAAGAAAAGTTTATAAAGAAGAGGTAAGACTTTTGCTTATGGTGGATGGAACAATGGTATAATGAAAATAATACGTGAAGACAGAGCTGCTTAACTCTCTTTTAAAAATTCTACCTTCTGGACTTCTGGGAGCCAAGATGGTGGAGTAAGAAGTAAGTCACTCTCACCCTCCCTTACTGACCTCTGAAAGTTCAGAAAACAACTAAGCCAGCAGAAGACAGGGCATAGCAGTCTTGCAGCCCAGGAAGCTCAGGGATTAACAGGAAAGGCCCCTCTCATTCTGGAGGAGGGGGAGCAGTACAGGATGGGAGGCATCCCAGCAAGCCAGTGGCAAGCCACACCTCAGCAAACCAAGGGGAGATCCTGAGTCCCAGGGTAGTGGAACAGGTAGGTGACAACACCAGAACCCCTCCCCCTGCTCCCTTAGTGCCTCAGCACAGGCAGGGGAACCTGTAGACACCAGCTTGGAAATGACCATGTGTGATGGTGTTCTCCAACAGCCAAATCTCCTGGTGCCTCAGCACAACTCTGGGAAGCACAACTCCAGAAGGCAAAGCTCCAGGCTGACAGACATCCTCCATCAGACAAACATTCAAGTGCTTTAAAAAAGCCTGGGTGATCAGGTATCCTCCAGGGGCCAGACTCCCCACTCCCATCCTGAGAGTTCCAGTATCGTTGACCCCAGCTCAGCATCAGGTAAGCTGCCAGACCCCTACATTCACCAGCTGCCAGCAATTGAGGTTCCAGCACACAAAGCCAGTGACCAGGTTTTGGGCTCCCAACACAAGAAGCTTGGGTCAGTGTCTCTTGCACTCCAGCAGGAAAGCTCAATTTTAAAAGCTGGGAAATAGGCAAAACCATGAACAAAAAGCAGAAATGGACAAAGACTTATTCTGGGGACAGGGAAGACCAAGGCACAAATTCAGAAGAGGATGACATTGTCAATACACACACATCTGAAACCTCAAAGGGGAATATGAACTGGTCTCAAGCCCAAAAATCCTTCTTAGAAGAGCTCAAGAAGGATTTTAACAGTTCAATAAGAGAGGTAGAGGAAAAAATGGGAAAAGAAATGAGAGGTATGCAAGAGAGAGTTAATAGCTTGGAAAAAGAAGGACAAAAATTGACTGTAGAAAACAAGTCCTCAAAAAGTAGAATTGGCCAAATAGAAAAGGAGGCACAAAAACTCACTGAAGAGAAGAACTCCTTAAAAAGTAAAATGGGCCAAGTGGAAAAGGAGGTATAAAATATGATAGAAGAAAACAATTCATTAAAAATTAGAATTTGGCAAGTGGAAGCTAATGACTCCATGAGATATCAAGAGTCAAGTAAACAGAAACAAAATAATGAAAAAATAGAAGAAAACATAAAATATCTCATTGGTAAAACAACTGACCTGGAAGATAGATCCAGGAGAGACAATTTAAAAATTATTGTTCTACCTGAAAACCATGATAAAAAAAAAAGAGCCTGGACAATATCCTTCAGGAAATCATCAAAGAAAACTGCCCTGAGATCCTAGAACCAGAGGGTAAATTAACCATTGAAAGAATCCACTGATTGCCTCCTGAAAGAGATCCCAAACTGAAAACACCAAGGAATATTGTAGCCAAATTCCAAAATTACCAGGTCAAAGAGAAAATACTACAAGCAGCCAGAAAGAAAATAATATACACCACAGTCAAGATTACATAGGACTTTGCAGCTTCTACATTAAAAGATTGGAGGGCATGGAATACAATATTCCATTAGGCAAAGGAGCTTGGATTACAACCAAGGATCAACTACCCAGCAAAATTCAGCATAATCTTTCAGGGGAGGAGATAGACATTCAATGAAATAGGGGATTTTCAAACCTTTATGATGAAAAGACCAGAGCTCAACAGAAAATTTGATCTTCAAATACAAGACTCAAGAGAGGCTTAAAAAGGTAAACAGGAAAGAAAAAGAAACCATGTTATTAATAAGGTAAACTGTTTACATCCCTACAAGGGAAGATAACACTTGTAACTCTTGAGAACTGTATCATTATTACAACATTTAAACGGGGTATACCAAGACAGAGTGAATGGGTATAACGTTGACTTTGATGTGATGATAAAAAATCTAATTAAGTGGTGAAAGGGGATTGTTCTGAGAGAAGAGGAAAGGAAGAGGCAGACAAGGGTAAATTACATCACATGAAGAAGCACAAGACATATTACAGTAGAGTGAAAGAAAGGAGGGAGATGAGCATTGTTTGAACCTTATGTTGATCAGACTTGGCTCAAAGAGGGAGTAACATAATCAGTTGGGTATAGAAATCTAATTTACCTGATAAGAAGTAGGAGGGGAAAGGGGAAAGAAAAGGGTAGATAGAAGAGAGGGAAGAAATAGTAAGGGTAATGGCAGCTAGGTGGCGCAGTGGATAGAGCACTGGCCCTGAAGTCAAGAAGACCTGAGTTCATATCCAACCTCAGACCAAACACTTGACACTTACTAGCTTTGTGACCCTGGGCAAGCCACTTAACCCCAATTGCCTAAAAATAAAAAATTAAAATTAAAAAAAGAAGTAGTAAGGGTAAAGGGGAAGAAAAGGGGAGGGGGCTGATAGAAAGGAGGACAGACTGAGGGAGGCAGTGGTTGAAAACACAACTCTAGTAAGGAGGGAAAGGGAGAAAGGAGAGAGAAAAGCATAAACGGAGGATGGGGGAAGATAGGATAGAGAGAAATACACAGATAGTAATCATAACTTTAATCATAACTGTGAATATAAAACAGAAGATAGCAGAGTGGATTAAGAACCATAATCCTACAATATGTTGTTTACAAGAAACACATTTGAAGCAGAATGATACACCTAGAGTAAAGGTAAAAGGCTGGAGCAGAATATATCATGCTTCAGCTTAAGTTAAAAAAAAAAGCAGGGATAGGGCCAGCTAGGTGGCGCAGTGGATAGAGCGCCTCCCTGGAGTCAAGAGGACCTGAGTTCAAATCTGGCCGCAGACACTTAACACTTGCTAACTGTATGATCTTGGGCAAGTCACTTAACCCCATTGCCTAGCTTCCCCCCCCCCCAAAAAAAGCAGGGATAGCAATCCTAATCTCAGATAAAGCGAAAGCAAGAAGA